CGCGGCGAAATGTATAAAATATTGTTTATTATGTGCGAGAAACTCGGCTGCAGTGTGACAGTGTCGTACATGTGTGTGTTCGTGTGTGTGTGTGTGTGTGTGTGTGTGTGTGTGTGTGTGTGTGTGTGTGATGCGTTGCGTGACTGCGTGCGTGTTGTGCTTGCGGTGTGTGCGGTGCGTGGCGCGTGCGTGGTTTGCGTGCAGTGTGACGTGCGTGCGTGGTGGCTGTATACTGCGCGTGTTTTTATAAGCCATGTAATGCGCAATCTCCTGCTGTCGTAATAGAGCGTGTAGCCCCATTGCTGCGGCATGACAGTACATCTGATTTTCTGTTACATTACGAACACAAGTAGCGTCGTCGCTGCCTGCTGTCGCACCGGCACGTGGCGAGACATGGAGATATCACGCGACTTATATTCACTCGGTGCCGACCGCGAACACCTGCTTAAGAATGTCGGATGCCGCGCTCGTTGATCTGCTCAATAAAATGCTTTGTGCAAGCACGTTAAAAACAACTAGGACTAGTTCCACGCAAACAGCGCCCAGCGCTCTGCTAAGTTCGCTCCTCCACATACCGGTAGACCATGTCTGCGCTGCGCGCGGCCCCAGTGGGACGCAGTAGTCGCATGCGGTCACACTTCAGAGACTCGAGTTTGTGAGTTTACCGTCGCACGAGCTAAGCGGAGCGCTTTCGAAGCAGTTTACCACCCTAATTGATGACAAGCAATACGGCCTGGTCAGCTAGGCGGACAGCCCTGGCCGGCCCGTCTCTATGTTGCAATGCTGTGTCAGCCGCTCCGTACGCCGTCGTCGCCTGCCGTTGCCCAAGCTCGCCACGGCGGTGAGCATTCAGCACCGGTGACGGGCGTCTGCTCGGGCGGTGTCCGCTCTCGCTCACCGTGGCTCCCGTCTCCCTGGACTTCGCTTCTTCAGCCGTGGTCCAGTTAAGAGTCGGTTGTGATATATTGTGTGTGCGCGGCCACCGCCGACGAATCGGGGAAGGCTTATAGCGCAGGTCTAAAATCAGGTGAGTGAGAGAAAAACGAGCCGGTACTGTATATTGTAGCAGAGGAGGGAAGAAGGTATAGGTTACAAATCAGTCGGTCCGGGTGGTTACGCAAATCTGTATGTAGCGGCAGAAGGGGTCGGAAGGTGTACTGTTTTAGAAGATTCAGTCCGTCGTTGTTGAGCGGAGAGTTCTATGTACGCACAGAAGGGAATACGGTATATTAAAATCAGTCCGTCGATGTAAACGGAATCGCTTATTGTCGGACAGAAGCGAACAGGTAATATTAAATCAAAGGTCCCGTCGGATCATGTAGAACAGAGGGGGAAAGGTATACAATTAAGAATCAGTTCCGCTCGATGTACGAACCTCTATGATACGGCAGAGGGAAGGTAATAGCTTATAAAATCAGTCGTCGATGTACTTCTTGATGTACGACAGAAGGAAAAATTAATCAGGTGCGTCGGCTGTTACGAGACTGTTCTATGTCCCGACAGAGGGGGAAAGGTATAGTCAAGTCCGTCTGTACGGACCGTCTACTGTACCGCAGAGGGGAAGGTATATTAAAGTGCAGTCGTCGTATGTGATGTACATCACCCTCTAAATGGCAGACAAAGGCCGCACCGTCCAGACGAGACGGACTGTGAGCGGACGATATGACGGAAACGTGTGTAGATGGGTGAGTATATAGAGAGTTGAGAAATAGATATATGCTGGGAACAGTAGAGGGAGGGGAGAGAGGGAGGGAGGAGTGGTAGGTGAGGAGTGTGGAGCCCCGCCGTATCTACGTATGACCACCCACGAATGCAGCAGCGGAAATATATATATATAATATATAGTATATAAACGTAAAAATATTTCGGAAGAGAGGAAAAAACCGCCCCGGGGAGTATTGTAAAGCCGCCGGCGCGCAGTAGTTGTGTATTAAAATATAAAATACTGCGAGTATGAAAGAGATAAGAGAACGCAGAACCGAGCTCTCAACCGCCTCGAGATCTTACTACATCCTTCACAATGCTAGAATATATATAATAGAAGAGAATCATACATAAGGTGGGTAGAACCCATCGAAATACGTACGAGTTAGACTCTATATAAATGATATCGCGCTTGCGATATACTCTTTATAGTGACACGACAGTAACCAAAAGAACGGAACGTGAAATGTTTCACCGAACATACATCCCTGCCATGCACCAAAATTCTACAACATGTGTTTATAAAGTATGGGTGCGCAAATGCGGTACTTTATGCGTGTAACGTGACCGTATATACTGGCAGAGTGGCCGCCGCCACTGCCTTCCATGATTATCTTAATCGAACCGAATGACAATTAAAACTCTCACTCGCCACTCTCACACACGAAAATCGCTTTGTAATCTCCACAGTAATGACACCAACCGTCGTCTCTAAACTAATTAATGCTTGCAATTCTATACGAAATACGATTTCGTCGTGTTTAAAACGCTTTTTACAAAACCGCTTATCACATAAAATAATAGATAATAATAATAATTTAATCTTGTTATTATCTAATAACATAATAACTCTCTTCTCTCACTCTCACTTTCACGCCCCTCCTCATCTCTCATATATTGTTCCTGTAAATCTTGCATGCATCAGCTGTGGGACGCGCGCTACAGCCGCACACACCGCACACACGCGCAGCGCGCAGACCCACCCACCGCCCCACCAACACACACACCCCCCACCCCATCACAAACACACACACACACACACAACACACACGACAAAGCAAAACGCGAACCCACCCTACAGACCACGCAAACGCACATGGGCAGAATACAACATGCACACGATGCGGCGCGCCAGAAAACACAAACACACACACATCACCACACAAACCACAACCCACACACACACAACCCACACACCCAACACAAACACCACACCAACCCCACACACACACAGACATAACAAGCCACCCAGACCCACCACACAACACACACAGCACACACACCAACACACACACAACACCCACACCAACACACACACACCACACACACACACAACCACACACACACACACACCACAACACACAGCCACACACGCGCCGCGGCGCCGCGCGCACACGACAACACAACACAATGCAGATACACGACATGCAGATACATCACGCCCAGGCTCCCGCAGGCACCACCACACGACGCTGCGCGCACCACCACCCACGAAAACTCCACCACCCCACACATGCACAACTACACACACACACACAACGACACACAGCACCACACACACGGACACACAACACACACACAACCACACACGAACACACACACATACATACATAACATAAATAGACATGCACACACATCACACACCGCGCACACACCACACACACAAGTCGGTGGGCCCACCCGCAATCACACGGAACTACACACACGACGGCACCACTACACAACTACCACAGCACACCACCGCACGCACACACCAGGCCACACACATCACAAACACACACACAGCACGCGTCGCGCACATACGTACCCGCACCATGCATACATGATTAAATAGCACATCAATGTCTCTTACATTCGGATAACGTGTAATATTATGAAAATGTCACTGTGGATATATTAAATGATTTTCGGCGCGCAAGAAAATCGAAACAATTCGCTATGTAGTCAGCAAATATAACGTAATTAGATATTCCATATCCATGACATGGGATTACTATTGCACTCTATTACAAACAATCGGGTATACATTATGCAATATGCCATGCATCGAACACTCGACGATAAATGAATTGCGCAGATTTTATAGCTGTTGGCATATAACGAGCATAGTGACGACGTCCCGCTCACGTAATCCTTTATGAGTACGAGGACGCGCTCGCGACTGACTAGGAGTAGAATGCAATAAGGTTGTTATGACTTTTTTCCGTTACGATATCTTCGATGGGTGTCGCGTTACACGGTTCGTTTGCGGGTGGTCGTCATTGCGGGTAACTGAAAGCGCGTCTTGAATTCAGACGGGCAACAAACCGGACTGAAGGGAGTCGCCGGGACTAAGACTACAAGTCAGTATAAGACGCTCGCGCAAGAATCGGAATTTTGATGCAAACAATCGCCCGATGTCCAAAGTTTATATGTAAAGTTTAGTTGGCTCCGCGAATATCAAGAAATGGGAATTCTACATCGATAGGACTTCATACGCCATGAACGCTGGCTGACTTTGACCGCATCAGCAAATCGCTGGGCAATCAGACACACCTCATCTGGCTCTAGTTGTAAGCGGACAATTGTCACATCTCCGTCCGCTACGGGGCGATAGCAGTTATAGATGTGTCGTGTAGCTTTACAACATGGCATTAGTCGGGTCTTTGTAATAATACCTGAATGGAATGTCTTTATTGGCGACTGACGATGTAATTAACAGGCGTTTAGGGTTTTGAAATATTGTCTGTCATTAAGCAGTAATGAGAATGATAGCGGTGGCCAATGACAGTGTTGCTTCCATTTATAGGCTGTCCGCAATTATTATTGAACCCCTTTGAACAGCCGCTCCTGCGCGTTGCGAAACTCGATAGAGTGGGCGCTATATAACACAATTAAAGCGACGGTCGTCGTGTTAGGATCTGGCAGGAATTTCTCTATTGAAGGCACACATCCTCGTTAATGAAATTTCGCACCGGATAGGTTAATCACGTTGCGCTGCCTGCGAGGCGGGCACGTCCTGCGTACAAAGCAACCACCTCACCGCCGCCCCGCGCGCAGTGTATAGGAAGCCAACCCGCCGCAGCCAACAATAGGGCACGAGTTCGTGCTTCGCTGACAATCGCCGTGCTAACTTCCTTCCCCCTGCCGTGCGCGCGTGCGCGCGTGGAACACCGGCGAGCGGCTAAAACGGAGCGCCGATTTCCATCATGCGTGGCCGCATGCCACGGCGGACCAGGCCACCGACGCGATATGAATCGGGTTGCGCCCGTTTTAGCCGAGCAAACTGGATTGAAGAAGTTCTCGCTATGTTTTTGCTATGATACTTTGCCTTTTGTGGCGGCCGTGCCGACAGCCGGCAGCTGGAGGCACGCCGGCTCGTATATAAGCTTGCGCTCGCCCGTACGTGCTCGGGGAGGGCAATAAAATCTTATTGAGCAAACACGGAACACATAAAAATATTGGTAAGGATGTTATCCTTGTAAGCACCTTTGCTTCCCCCCCGTAAGAAGGTGCAGAATGAGCACTCGTGTCTTTTCATCGCGGCTTTGAACGGGCCGCCGCAGACCGGCCACCGAGGGGCCGGCTGCGTGTTGCCAAACGGAAGGAGGCAGAACATGGGCGCGCAAAATTTACACTGTCTATTTGATCGAATTGAATGGCAGTCTGTAGTAGT